AGCAGTTTGCTCTCCCTCACTCCCCGCCATTACCATCCACCATGCCTACTAAAGGCCCAAAGTATGAGCCCAATCTTTGACTGGAACCTTCAAATTTGTGCCATAATATCCCTTTTCATTTAATAGGCTAATTATGTCAAGTATTTGGTTATAGTTTTGTTACACCATTAAAGCTGACTAACACAGTGTTTAATATAAGGAAGATAGAATAGCATTTGTTAAGGTGAGGTAAATACAAATTGAAATTTCAATGTCTAGATCAGAGATAGGAGAAGGAGCATAAGGATGAGGAAAAAGTCAGGAAGGTTTGGAAGAGATTACCCTAAGTAGCCAGAGAAAACTTTTAAGGCAACCAAGCCTGAGCAAGTTTTCTCCTTTCCCTGCTACCCACCTAGTGTCTGGATTTAACATACTTTCCGTGCTCTGTACAACTGAGGTATCTCAGGGCCTCCTATAGATGGGTAGCAAAGTTGACTACATGTATTGTACTCACACAAAGAAGTTTAGCTCTAAAGCATCTGCAGAGGAAGCCTTATCAGTGTTAGCCCTTCCACATTCACACTGATGAATTTTATAGTGATGTTCACATTGTAAAATTGCACATATAAGATAGGGATTGCACTCACAGGCCCCCATGGTATCCATATCTGGGTCAATGTAGGACACAGATTCTTCAAAGTCAACAAGAATTCTATGAGAAGGGTTAATCAATGTCCTACCATGAACTCATTTTCATTTCTGTGCTGTCTGGGGTTTAAGCATAATACAGAACCATATTGGCTGAGAGTTTGGTGTATGTTCACCTCTAGACATGGAGAATTTTATCACCCTTCTTTGAGGCCACTCTAATTGCTAAGCTTCACAGTTCATCCTCTTCTTTCTTTAGGTGAGTTCTCTGAGCTGAGACGGTTTCTTCTGTTATCTCTGCATAAAGTTTAATAGGTGTGCAGTCTTTTAGTTTTCCTTTTTCCATAAGTCTGAAAATTTGTGATAACAAAAATAACAATGGCGACCAGCTTTTGTGAATTTAATTATTTTAAATGAGGAAAGAAGATCAAACACCTGAGAAGAAAATGGCTTTGAAATTGACATTCAGCTGTGCTACAGTTGGTTGATATTTGGCTCTTTTATTTTTCTCCTGAGTAACATATGAGCCATTGAGCTCAGAGACGTGAACATCCTGTACTGGAAATAGATGGAGTGTGGAGGAGGAGAGGGGCACCCAGCAGGCATTCTTTGAATCCTTCAGTGCGCTTCACTTGAATATGTTAGAGAAGTGAGTAAAAGGCTGGGAAGCAGAGCTCTGCTTGGATGGCTTCCAACCCTGTCCACAAGGCTCAGGAAAAGCTCGGCTAAGCCACATGCATTTTATGTTTTCCTGAGGAAAGACTGCTTGTTGGTCTCAGGGTTAAGGAGTCTCAGCAAGTTTTTATAGAGACACTAAAACATTCTTTTCATATTTTCCTCTGTCATTGAAAGGAGCCTCGGGGAGAGAATCACATTTAAGTGCCTGCTACGCCGGTGAGCTGCATGAGAGGTGTTGGTGCAGGGACAGTATTGTGGTACATGGGTCCCTGGCTACCCAGCTTCTTGGGGGTATCACAAGTATATGTGCATGCACACATGTAAAAGTTAATTGAATCTTGAAGAAACTAATCACAGAAGAGTAGATGTATGTGTGTTTCAGGATTTCTTACTTGAACCAAATAATGCAAAATGAACATCATTTTCATCCTTACCAGAAAATGGCTTGATTGGAAAGACAAAGTGAAAACCATGTAAATGGTAGGGTGTCAAAAGACAAGAATGTGAGGGAAGAGTAACAACCGTTTGTAGCTTTTTTCTTTCACTAAAAACAGTTTTAAAGAGAAAACTAAAGCATGGTCTATTCCTTTGTGAGAATGATTTAGAATGTTCACTGGAGCAAGAAGACCGTTTATGAACCAACTCCACACTTTCTTTGGCCTGTCATACTCCATTGTGTTTATTTCAGAACCTGAAATTTATGTGGAGTAGTGAATATTTCCAGAGAAGTCCTGTAGTCATCAAAATTTGCATTTGCTGGTGCACTTTTCCTTTATCTGCTGAACTTGGTTAAGTTTTTCTTTTTCTTAAAGATATGCATCTTGAGCTTTCTCATTTATGCTTCTCCCTAGGAGGGTACTACTCTCCCGAAGACGTTTTACCTTGCTTACACACTTGTAATTCTCATTTATAATTAGTGTTTTCTTAAATTGTCAATTTTCTTAAATCTTACCCAGTAAAAAGTACATATAATTATACTAAGTAGAGACACTGGAATTATTGCTCATATCAGAAGTATCTAGAATTTGCTCTAGGGTAAATTAGAATATCTGTATATTCCTTTTATTCTATGTTTCTAATCTTATTATAGTAGAACTAGAAATTCTCTCTCTCTCTGTCTCTTATCTGATGGTAGTGTGCCCATAAATTTAGAAGAGAATGAAGAAATCATTCTGATATTAGTAAGGAAGTATGTGAGGTCTCCTCTTTAAAGACCTTCAAGATAAACTAACAGCCCTATTTGAATTGTCAATGTCTCTCAAGTAAAAAAACTGGACTCCTCCGAAGTCAATTTTCTGTTTCCAAACTTAAGAGAGCATCACATTCATAGGCAAGTTTTTGCCCTCCTGACGCAGGGCAGTATAATACTAGGTGCTTAAACAATAGACATATGCTGTGGGGAAAGATGTAGATGTACAAAAAAGTGAGTCAGTTGTTTAAATGGAATGAGTGACAAAGTAGTTCTACCTCAGCCTGATGAAGGAGCGCCACCTACTGCAAAAAAATTTATTTTATGCTTGCAAATTCTTTAGTGGAAACTAATTTATACACAGCCAAGTTTGCAGTCTGAAAACTTTTAACATCTATATCTGTTTCAATTTACTGGAGTTTTTCTAGTTTTTTCCTCTGTGTGTGTGTGTGTGTGTGTGTGTGTGTGTCTGTATACTATCTTACTCAGTCATATTCAGTAAATTATAAAGTGAGAGACAGAATAGCAGATAAAAGAATGCAAATATGAAAAACATATAGAAATAAAGGATTCCTCGTTGGGGTCTACTGATGTAATTTATTCTGTAATGTAAATGATTTACCTCCATTTCTGTTTTACTTATACAAATGACATAAAAATTAATAGCTAATGATTATCTAAATTCATCCTAAGCTACCTGTAAGTGTATCCTTTATTAAATGACTGTGGTTGTAACAGGACTTTATTGAATTTTCCTTTCTCCTGTGTTTTTACTTCTTTAATAATACTGAAGTCTACAGTGTTTTTTAAAATAACAATCTCTAACGTTCCAAATGCACATCAGGTAGACATTTACAAAGAATGTAAATTAGAACATGTCTTCATATTAAGTTGGGGTCATTCATTATTGTTTCAGCCATTTTGGTTCATTTCATTTAGTTTTTTACAACACAACATAAAATAAATAAGTGATAGCAGAAATGGTACAATGGCGAGCTCTCTTAACTTTATCTTTTCCTATAACTCTTTCAAGGTCTTAACTGGCTATTCAGCACTCCCATCACTCACAATGATGCTCAGAGAAGATCATCTCATTGCAAATTCTGCTTCATAATTAATTTCACAGCCCACACTCATTAAATTTTGTTTGTCATCCTACCTTTAATTTACTTATATATTAATTGAATGTCACACAGTCCGGAATTTATATTTGATGTTTATCAGTACTTTGCTCTCCAAATAAGCTGATGTAGAATATAATTTGTTTTGACATCAGAGTCATAATTATGTAGCTGCTACATGTTAGAAATCTAGACACACAAATAGCACAGATGGTTTTAATTTTGGTCCTGATTTTAAAAAAAAAAACTGTTTGAATCCCAATGCTATCAAAAGTTTCACTTTTTCATACTTCTTTGAATGTTAAAAACTTTTATTATATTTATTGTAACTTCATTCCTTCAATTAAAACTTGAGAATTCGCTATATGCTGGGCACTGTGCTAGTTTCTGGGGATTCCTTTCCTTTGGCGAGCTCTCTTAACTTGTGGAAGACCAGTGTGTAAGTCATCCCAGCAGTAAGGGCAAGAAATTATGGACACAGGAGGAAGTGCACTTAACCCGAACTTCAGAGAATGGGGCTGGGGAGGAGTGCTAGGGAAATGTAGACTACCTAGAGAATAGAAGATAAGTAGAGGAACAATTTCTAGGAGGAGATAGGATTTGCAAAGACACTGGTAAGGAAGCAGGGTATGTTTAGGGAAATACATGTTTTTCATTTTTCTTGCAGTTATATTAAATTTTTTTAATTTGTTTTTTATTGTTGTGAAATACGTATTTTTTCTACTCAACTGTGGCTCAAAACTTCAAATGTAGTTTCAAGTGATGGAATTGGCCACAGAGTCAGAGGTCAGATAATGCAGGATCTTTCATGAATTTGAACTTTATTCTGAATGTATTAAAAGTATTTTAAGTAAGGAAGCAAGAATGAGTGATAGAATTGGATTCAAGCTGATTAGAAAGTTCTTATCTTCACTGTAGAGCAGGGATTTGAGCGGAGTAGACTTGAGGAAGGAAGTCAAGGAATCAGTGGGGAAATGATCCAATGAGAGCAGGAAGTGAGAACAGGGAACATGGATATTTGATACTAATTTAGTGGCCAAGTAACCGTGAAAACTACGGGGAAAAAATTCCAGTATAATTTCTGTTTCCAGACACCATAGAGTTTAGTGGCACCATCCTCTAAGACACAGGCAGGCCTGAGTGGAGATGAGCAGAGGAGAAAGGAGGTCTACTGTAACTCTGTTAAGTACATCCAGATGGAGAGATCCAATGAATGGCTGACTGTAGACTTTTGGAGTTTGGAGGAGTTCTGGGATGAGGAATCTTCAAATCTACTCTTAATGAATCTTTAATAGGATGTATAACTTCACTGTAAACAAGGCATTGGTTCTATACTCAGACACCATCCTTCACCTATCTGCTGTTCTTCCGTCCCCTCCCTGCAGAGGACTGGTACGCAGAGTTGCATCCCCTTATCCTGACCCTGAAGGAATGCATGGGAGAAGTGGTGAGCCGTGCCAAGCAGTCCCTGACATTCGTGCTGCTGCAGGAACTTGCCTACAGCCTGCCCCAGTGTCTGATGCTGACTCTGAGGAGAGACATCGTCTTCAGTCAGGCAGTAGGTGCCCACTGCTGTTGTCTGTGTAGAACAGTTCTGAGTTTTTAACACCCTTTCTTTGATGACAGTAGAATTATTCTTTTAACAGTTTTATTTTTTTAAAGGGATCCTTTCCTTAAAGATTTGCTATCAAATTTTTCTTATGATAAATTTGAGTTGAATATTATACCTACACAGTTTATGAAACCTCAAATATTTCTTTCTGAACAGAGACAGCCAAGTCTCTGATATGTGCATTTTATGAACTAGATGAAAAATCTGTGAAGAAAGGGGTGACTTACCCTTGTGCTATGCCCAAGTTCTGCCTACTGTCAGGGGAGGAAGGCTGCCTGGCACCACAGGTGACACACTAGGCCTTGGCAAAGGGATCTGTTTTTACTCATCTCCCCCATGAATCCAGGTCAGGATTTCACACTAATCTCTTAAATTGCTTATAAAATAAGTTTGCAGGGCAGTAATGCTTGACTATGAGGCCTGAGGGGACCATCTCCTTTGCCTATATCCACCCCCATTCATTATATCAAGGCCAGCTCCATCACAGGGGTCTTGCTGCTGCTTCCCTTTTCTATTCTAGCCTCCATGTCTGGTTGAATTTGATATACAAAGCACTTACAGGGGAGGAGACCAAATGCCTCCCTTGGTAAACAGTCCACACAAGGGAGTATCTTAAATGAACTGTCCTGACCCCCATTACACTATTTCATGAGTGATCAGTGGCAAATGACCAAGCATCGGGCGTTTATGCTGTGCATTTCACATGCTTATTGGATCCTTTATGATTCTACTTTGCATGTGTAAATAATGAAAACACTATGATTTGGAAATGCCAAATCATTTTTTTATGGTTTTCTTGTTACAAACAGTAGACATGATCTAAGGACACATCACCTTGACTCCAAGATCCATGCACTTATTCTTTTGCGATACTGTCTTCCCAAGTCTTTTGTATACAGCTTTGCCACATCAAAGATAGTTATTTTATTTTTTATGATTTTATCAGCATATAACAGTTGTATAGGGGATATATTGTGATATTAACATATGTCTTGAAAATATATCTTAGTTGGATTTATCCCCTCCATCATTCTCCCTACCCCCCTCTTCTTAGAAGTATTTCAACAGATTTCATTCTATTTTCATATATGGATACAAAACATATCCATCAAATATACCCTCCTTCCTTATGCCCACCCTCCTCCCACTGGTACCTACCCCTGGAAAGATTTTATTTTTTCCTCCTACCCTTCATTTAAAAATTTAAGTGTATATTGATACTTCAAGCTGTACAAAAGTAATAGCTTTGTTACACATTCTTGAGAGTTTTAAATTAATTTGTAATGTCCCGAAAGTCTTAAAACACTAAAAATTGAACTAATAAGTTCAAATTTGCTGGCCCCAGTAAATTCCTTCAGTGATCTTTTTTGTTTTAGCTTGCTGGATTGGTTTGTGGTTTTATCATCAAATTACATTCAAGTTTGCATGATCCAGACTTCCTACGGCAGCTTTACACTGTGGGGTTGATAGTACAATATGAAGGACTGCTAAGTACATACAGTGAGTATTGCCTTATTACATGCTAAAATCATAGTCCTATTCATAAAGATAATTAACACATCAATTTTCCAGGTAAGCATAAAAATGAGCAGTATACCATTATACCAAATGTTACAAAAATAATGCAGCTTTTAGCTTTTGCACTCATTCACCTTATAACTTACTTTTGCTTTGTATTATGTTTTGAAAATGGAATTATGGATTATTTCAGAGCAACCATCTGGCTTTTTAAAAAATATATAAAGGGCTCTTTACCAACATGACTTCAATGACTTGGTTTCAAAGTCTCAACACTATCATGGCTGGAACTGCACAGTTCAATACAGGATTCTAATGTGGAGTGGAGTTCCTGAACTATGTCTAGTCCAAGCATGTATGTTCTAGTCCTGCACACCAGATTTCAAAGACTAAACAAAAGAATTTTATATTGATTATTAATAATTTATATTCAAAAACATTTTGTATATATTGAGCAATATACAACATATTAGTAAAGTTAACCTTACTTTCTAATCTTTGCTATTTTAAAGATGTGATTACCAGAAAATTTACAATAATAGCTCATATGCCATCTCTACTGGATTGTACTGACCTAGGATCTTAATTCCTCATTCTTAGGCTTATTTGTCAGTGTATGGAGACACAAACCTAGCATGAATTCTGAGTTGGTGATCATTAATTCAGCCATCACTCTTGTTTCTAGATATCAGATATCAGTTCTGCCAATAAAAGATGTGTGCATGATATTTTGTTTTATAAAGGGTTTAAAATCTCTCTCCAGCCTCCCATTCTTCTTCCCTCAAAGGGTACATTGACTTCTAGAGCCCATTGAAATGGTTCTTATTTTGCTGATAAAAACCTTCAGCCTGTGAGGAAAATAGTGCAGAATGGATTCACTGCACTCAGAAACTCATTCACTAAAAGGCTAGAATGGATTCCAGTAGGAGGTCTTGTAGCTGGTGACATTTCCTTTTTCATAGTCTATAATCAGGCACGTTCCCCTTTGCTTAGGTGATGAAGTTGGAATGCTGGAGGACATGGCTGTTGGCATTTCAGATTTGAAGAACGTTGCATTTAAAATAATTGAAGCCCAATCCAATGAGGTCTTGCCCGTTGTAACAGGAAGACGGTGAGTGAGTGCCCATTTGAAGGCCAGCCTTTGTCGGACATGTATCATTCACTCCCGGCAAAGTACCCTGACAGAATTCAGGTGTTTCATTTGGGGAATTTTTCTTTTGTTCTCTTTTCTTTGGGTGAGAAACAAATATAGGTTATATGATGGGAGAAGGTCTTGAAAAATTTGTGGAAGTATCACTAATGTTTATAAATTGTGACAAGGGAAGTGTGGGGCCCGTTCCTTTAGTATATATGAGAAATTTAAAATAATAGCTGCAAAAAAAAGAACACTTTCCTTTTTATTACTATCTAGTCTAAAGCATTAGGATGTTTTTCCTTTTTCGGGAATTGTTCAGTTAATAGCTTCATAATTCTTGAGTTGACTTTAAATTAAATTCAGTTAAAAGCAGCAACAGTTTAGGAAAGATATATTCCTCTGTCAGGGGCATTTACCACCATTTTTCTTAATTATTTTTGACAATTCACTCTCTAGATCGTGAGATTTCCGAGAAGGCTTTAAATAAACAGCTTCCAAGGTCAGTTTATGATGGGCAAAATATCAGAAATAATTAAGAAAAATGATGGTGTGTGAAAGAGAACTCTGGTAGAAGAATTATATCCTATAGTAAGTTGTTTCAATCAGAAGTCCTCCAAATTTCAACCTTTCTGGTATAAGCACTTTTAAGTGCTGCACAAGGGTATTTAAATTTTGAAACATTCTCAAATCACAGCGAACACAAAAGAGGGGGGAGCACTTCTCAGGCTAGAGAAAGATGGAGAAGAGATGCAGTCTAAAAATATTCAACACAAACTGTCTTCCCTGTCTAAGGTAAACATGTGATAATTTAAATTTTGTGTGAAGCATGCAGTATCTGTACTGTTGAAGGAAAAGTGATTATTTCCTACAAAGAAGAAAACCATGTGCTCATGTGCCAAAATGTTTCATTTGCTATTCATTGGAAGAAAAAGAATAAAATTGCTGCATACACACCCTGGAAAATAATACCACATAGTTTATTATCAAGAGTGAGAAGAATTTATGAGAGAATCTCACTGGGCTATGAATCTCACCAGGCCATTTGGTACAGACAAAGTGCAGGGGGTTTTTTCCTGAGGAAACCCTTCAAGCTGCATCTAAACTCAGACGTTGTCATACAGATGGAAGTAGGACTCAGAAAGAAGAAGTGAGAAGCTCAGCGCATCCTCTGTCCAAAAAACAACATTGCAACTGGAAAGAATCTTCTAAAACAGCCATCTTAGGACTAAGGGGATGAATCAAATTCATAAACAAATTAGGCAGCCCAGACTGATAAAAACCTAGCGAGCACTGGACAGTAGCACTGGGAGTCAGTCAGTGGCATTCCTGCTGAAGGTTGCTCCCACCAACCCCATGTCTGTCAGCACAAAGCCCACCCCATTGACACTTCCGTGTCATTCTCTGAGGAGGCTGACTGATTTGGGCTAGAAAACAGAAAAAAGCACCTAGAAGTTGTCAGAAACAGTGGTAACTTAGATAACTCCACTCACAGTAGCATCAGAAAGAATAAATAATAAAGATTATACACAGAATATACAATATATTGCTGAGAAAAATTAATGTGATCCAACAAATAGAAAGTTTCTGTTTATGGGTTGGAAGACTCATTGTTTAGACAGAAGTTCTCCACAAATTGATCTCTAGATTGAGTGACATTTTTATCTAAATCTCAGTAATCTATTTGCAGAAATTGTCAGGGTAAACTTAAATTTTTATGTAAATGGAAAATCATCCTTCCCCCAAAATTATAAAATAAGAACAAATGTAGAGGAGAGAACTTCACTTTCTTGTTGCAAAGCTTACAATAAAGCTGGATGCCAGTGGTTCATCCTTGTCATTCTAATTATTTGGAAGGCTAAAATTGGGAGGATCATGGTTTGAGGCCCACCTGGGCCAAATGTTCATGAGACCTCCTTATCTCAACATACAAGCCAGGTGTAGTGATGTGTGTCTGTGGTCCCAGGTACATAGAAGGCATAGGTATGAGAATCAGTAAAAGGCTGGCCCTGTGCAAAAATGGGAGACCTTACCTGGGGGAAAACAAAACAAAACAAAACAAAACAAAAAACCACTCAAACAAATAACAACAACAAGAAGAAAACAAAGACTGCCACACTGTATGACTCCATTCATATGAAATATGCAGAAAAGTAAACATCTATAGAAACTTCCTGGAAATGGCAGTGGGAGTGGGATTGACAGGCATGAACGATCCTTTAAGCTGATAGAAATGTTCTAAAACTGGATCACAGTTATGGTTGCACAACTCTGAATTATATACTTAAAATGTATGCATTTATGTCAATTATAACTTAATAAAGTCAATGAAAAGTCATCACAACGAAATTAGCTAATGCACTTCACCTTCAGAGAAATTTTCAAACATGAACTAACTCGTTGATGCTTCAATATTCTTAAAACACTTAAAATAAACATCAGCCCTCTGTAAACCAGGCTACTAAAAAGGGCACTGAGAGTGAATTAAACAAAGCAAATGAATGTGTCCATGCATCTGAGGATAGTGTTAACATCCTAACTTGCTGGATTCTTGGGAATTCATAACTCTCTATGTCATGGCTAGGAAGAAACAGTCTGAGTCAATGATCTACAGTGTTTATCAATATTGTTATACCAGGAGAGATTAAAAAGAGTTTTACAAAGAAACTGTTGTCCTATGCTCTTCTTCCCAGTACATGCAGTATGACCCACCATTCCATATAGTTCTGGAAGTAGATGGATTTTTCTAACTCTTGGGCTACACTTCTTATATTTCTGTATTCAATTCATACTGTGTCACAGGGTACCAAGTTTCAAAACATACAAGCTGGTACTCTTTCTGAGAATATTGTATGAACTCCAATTTAAAATTTCAAAATAAAACATTACTGGTAATTTTTAATGGAAATTTCTAAGGAAAATGCTCCTGTGTTATACAAACATTTCCAAATGGTCAGGGTTCCCAAAGGTTATAACTTAAATAATTAAACCATCTCATTTGCCTTATAGTGTCATGAAGAGGGAGCTCATCAATTATAATAACAATTGGGCTGTGCCCCAAAATATAGAAAAAATTGGTTTATTAGGCTCCACCATATTGAAATATCTATCATTAAATTACTTTCTTTATTTTGGGGACTAATGGGATTTTATAAGTAAGTCAAGAAAACAGGTAGTGAGGCTATCACATGTCTGTGGGGATTCACAGATGAACCAAATATTCTTCCTTTTCTAATAGAATTCAGAGTAATGTGGAGAAATCAAACATGTAAATAAGTTCCTAAATATGTGGTGCCAAGAGGAAAGTATGTTTCTTGAATAAATGAACATTAGAAAAGAAGCATGTAGTTGCCCAAAACTTAAATAGTGTTATATTCCAACTCTTTAATTGTTTTCCAGTGAGTCTCAAATAAAATAAGTGACATGATTACAGCTTCTTCCCTCTGTCTTTACCTTCCTCAGTGAACACTATGTGGTGGAAGTCAAGCTGCCAGCTACAATGTTTGAGTCGCTGCCTCTACAGATTAAGGGAGGACAGCTGCTTCACGTGCATCCAGTCCTTTTTAACGTCGGAATCAATGAACAACAAACTCTTGCAGAAAGGTAAGCTCTGGCAGAAGGATGATACTCAGTTTCTTTTGCCCTTTTTAGGGTATGCTGAGAAATCCCATGTGTTTCTGCACGTAGGATTTAGTCCTTTTTATAGGGAGCAGTTTCCTTTTTACCAGGACCAGTTCATTCAACATAACAAGATAAAATATTCAGACTCAAGGATTTCTGCCCCAAATCAAATTTAAATGTATCAAAAACACTGAGGAAAATATTGCTGCCAATAACAAAGTATTCTTATTAACTTTCTTCATGTTTCCAAATACCTCTGTGTATATCAAAATTTGGAATTTTATTTACACACACACACACACACACACACACTCATATACCTATGTTAACACTATAAACCCAGCCATTTGTGTTTAAATGTGTGTTAAAATTTACTATACCAGCTGAGTGTGCTAGTAAAGACTGTAATACCAGCTACTCAGGAGGCAGACATTGGAGGGTCACTGTCCAAGGTCAGCCTGAGTGAGAGCACAAGACCCTACCTGTGTCTAGGGGCACAGCTCATGTAGAGCACTTACCGAGCAACCGAAAGGCACTGAGTTCAATCTCCAGTACCAACAATAACAACAAAAATAGTCTGGACCTAAAATGCTCTATTTTTCTCCTTTTTTTATTATAATAGCTATTGTGGGATAATTTTAACACATCTTCAAAATGACTTGCTCAATCAAGCAATAAAGGATTGTATGTGATCCCTTGAGTTATTGTTTAAAAAAACACTGTTTTGAGCAGAGAACTTAACTCTTGCCTCTTCCATTGTTCTCATGTAGAGATTCTAGAAAACTTAGATAACAAATAAGTTCACAGAGCACAGTTGTGAAAGATTTTAAAGAACAAGGTTGTCATCTTGTTATGGGACTGGCTGGGGAAGTTCCCACATAAGCACATGTGGAACGCTTGATAGTCTTTGGTATTTCAATGCTTCTTTCCCTACCACTCACTTCCCTGTGTCTCCTTCCCCATGGGTAACAGTTTTAAAGTGCCTAGAGTGTTTCTTGCCATTACTTGTTAAGTACATTTTAGGTTTTTATTAATGTCTTTTTATTTTACTAAATTAAATATTCTACTATAATTATAGTCCTCTTGAATTTCAATGGTACTCAAAATATCTCCTGTTATTTATTATTTTTAAATAACTTCTTCTCTCCTTCTTATCCCAAAGATATTTCCGGGACAACACAGGTTTTCATAATTCTCAGCTGCCATTTAATAAGTGGATGGTAACTGTGCATTACAGGTTTAAGTTCAAACTATGTGAATGCTATGAGTCTCTTTCCTTATAGTGTGTATAAATCAGAAATACAATTTTATGTACTGTATAGTATGAGAAGTTTGATGATTACATTTTGAAAATCAGTATCAATGATCAGATTTTATTCTAGTTATACATACACATGTATTTTTTCTCATAGCAAATTCAGTGTTTGTGGTGAATAATATACCTGAACATAAATGATAAAGCTCAGGGAAAAAGAACCAGCATACTAAGTGGTAGAATATGACCTTAAGAGTGACATGAGACTCAGACTTTTCAGGGGATAGTTACATTTTTATGGACTGGCTAGCATTAACAAGGACTAACATGTAGATTGGACTCATTTTTATCACTGATGATGTTGTGACACTTTCGGTTATCACTTATTCATCACTTCATTTAAAGTGTTCCTCCTATCCCTCCCAGCTCCCTACCTAGAAGTTGTATAAAACACCCTTGGGCTTGAAAAGGAGGCAAAGTGGCAAAGCAGGGAAAACACTGAAAAAATGTGAAGGCTGAGTTTGAATAGCACTCTGATGTCAATAGACTATTGATTTAAACAAATCACTTCCTCTCCGTTCTCTAATCTTCATTTTTCTGATTCAGAATTTACCTTCACCAGGCAACATCTTCATGTTAGACATATTACGTAAATTTAGTTGTAATATTTTTCTGCATATTTATCACAAATCAAAATATATACTTTATATTACTGTTCTTAAACAAATATTCATGCTATTAATCAGATTGAGCTGCTCAAACAAGAGACTGATGACTAGACAGATTAAAAAACAAAATTCTCCCAGTGTCGAAGGCTTACAAGTTCAAGAGCAGAGTTGGGCTCTCTTTTTGCTTACAGATGACTACCCAAGTTCTTGCTGTGTGCCCAAGTGACTTACACTTTGTGCACATGTTGGGGAAGGTAGCATTCTCAGGTGTCACTATAAGGACATAAAATCCTATAAGAGTCAGAATCTACCCTATAACCTCAGGCTCATCACTAAATATAGCCACATTTGTTTCAGCACATGAATTTTGTGAGGACACAAACATTTAGTCCATAATACTGATTTATTTCAGCAAGACTGATATTTTTTAAATGCCAGTTGATTATAATATCTGCAAAAGTTAGAAGAGTATATTTTCAGGGTCTGGGGGAAATTCTCCTATGGATTTTTCCCTGGGACTATATTCTTCTTCTTCAAGTTCAACTCAGTAGAGGGATTCAACATTGACTCCACCAGGAGCTGTTCTGCCAAGCTTTGGGACACAGGGAGAATAGACTGTGACAAGAAGCCTGGAATATTATCCCTGTCCTGTGAGAATTTCCAGCCAGTAAGGAAAGCAAGTCAACAAATAATGCATTATACTCGAGACTCATGCAATAATCAAAGATGTTGAAGGGATAGGAATAATGCAGGAAAGAAAAAAAAATCAGATAGGAGATGAGCTCTTGGCGAAGGGCTCCTAGAGGTGACCTTTCACTGGCTTAAAAGAGGAATAGAAACTAATCAAGCCAAAAAGGAAGGTAAGACACTCATCAGAGAAGAAATAAAATGTGACAGGAAAGGGTGTAACTACATTCCCACAGTCTCTTGGGAAGGCTTTATGGAGAGGTTAGACACTAAACCAATGGGACTGGACCTTGTCTTTATAGGAGGAGGATAAACATTGAACTTCAATGAGCTAATAAGAGGCAATTTGTGTTAGATTAATTTAACATTTCATTTGTTACACAGTGCATTTGCTGGTACATGGTTGATATTAAATAAATGTTTGCTGATTGAATTAATTATCTAAGCATGCTGTAAAGGATAGGGTGCAAGGGAAGGAGGCTAGAAGCATAGCACTGGCATTTGGAAGGATTTGGGAGGATAATGACTTATGTAACCTATAATGGCAGTGATAAAGAGAAAAAGAAAGAAGAGATTCACTGAAAATATCAGTGAATAGTGAGGAATGGTGGAGAATAGTGGGGAAAAGAGAAGAACCTCAAAATGCCTACCTAGAAGTTGCACCTGAGTAAATGATGGGATATTGGGGGCAGGCTTGGAGAAAGTCAGTAGGAGGTTCCAGGTTCTGATTATGTTGCATTGGGTGTGAGGTGGGACAATTCATACAGAAAACTTCAGCTGACATCTGGAAATACATGTTTGTATGAAGAGCCATATTGGAAGCTACTTTCAGAGCCTCCCTTTATAGACAGACACACTTTAAGTTTGAATCTGGTTGATTCTCAAAGAGTTGATAAACTCAGTGATATGAAGGAAGAAAGTTTGTTTTAGAGAAGAGAAAGGAGAGCATGGGTACAAAGCCGTTGTCCTTACTGGGCAGAAAAAATTGTCAGCAAAGTTAAACTGCTCTGGGAGGGCACAGGACTATCCACATGTGTGCAGAAGTCAACAGTGTACAGGATCACATGCAGCTTAGTGTTCAGTCCTGGTCTTCTGGACCCCTCCCCAAGGGGTCAGGGTAAAGAGGAAGATCAAAGGACAAAGAGAGGGGGAGGGTTTCCTATGCACGCTCATCTGCAGATGAGCCCGCAGAGGCGGTGCAGGGCAGGTTAGGAAGAGTAACAATAACTGAGCATCAGGTTGTGCACATGTAGAGGAGATGGCATGTTCATACTGGGAGATGTGAGACTATTTGGTGTTTTGGTATTCTGAGAAGCAATTGGTAGAATTGGGATCCATGGAGACTGGATATGACTGAAATCACCACTGTACAATATATGCTTTAAAAAAATGAGAGATTCTTCCTTAGAAAACTGTTACTATGCATTTAAAAAGAAATGGTAGAAGCCATTACTTTTGGTGCTATTTTATAACCCACAACGGTTTCTTTTTATCTGTTTTTAGGTTTGGAGATGTCTCTCTGCAAGAAAGTATTAATCAGGAAAATTTTGAACTTCTAAAAGAATATTACACAATATTTATGGAAAAGATGCCTCCTGATTGTAAGTATCTGTGTTACAGAAAACAATAACAATTATTTCTTGATTATAAATCTACAGGAGAGGTCAATGATGAAAGAAGCGTAGGATGGAGTATGAGAGTGATTTTGAGATTATGTGAACCAAAGACTGACTGCCAAAGTGGTGTAGTTGACACATACTTCATGACCTTGTGGTCCACACTGGCATCATCACCTTGAATCTTTCCTACTGCTCATGCAGGAACATTAACTTCAGAGCCATTGGAAAATTCCAAAATTAAAAAAAATGGACTCATTGTTAGAAATATCAATTGAGTCCAATAAAAATTTGTGTTATTCTTTACCATATAAAATACTTTGGTAAGTATTTAAGTCTCCAATTAGTGAAACATGTCAGATATATCACACGTATATAAGGAGGTACTCAGATGGAATATAAACTAGGTAATGTAATATTAACTAACATAAAATAAGAATAAATTGATTGCATTTGCTTATTGCAGTATTTTATGTGAAAAGTTTAAGACATCCAAGCCTATAGAAGTGTGTTTTACACTTCAGGAAGAATTTTTTTTTTTTTACCATTACCCTGCTCTATAGCATTTTTCCCTACCCTATTAAGTACATTTATATTCCAAAATAAGACAATTAGGAATATATTTGGAGTTCACATATAAATGGTATAAATATGCTGAGGTTTTGAGATATTCACAATGATAAGAAACCAGGTTTTAATAAAGTGTGATACGTTAACCAAAAGATGTAATCAAAGTCTACCTATAATCTATTCATGGGCAATTTGCTCCCTGATTTACATTCTGATACTTACTTTGAAATATCTTATGTGGCAAAATACTCAGGTCTTTGCATAACCCAAGGAATCATGAGTGCCCATGGCAGTAGATAGAAAATTCCACTTGCTAGTTCTTACATTATTATTTTATATTACTTTATTTCATATCAAATGGTTTTTGCCAAAACTGAAAGTAAGCACATGGAGATTCTTGGGCAATCAGCATATTTTGAGTTATAAATTAGTTAATTACATGAAAAGTTGCTAATATGTATAAGCAAAATTATTTTGCTTTAGTAATTAATGAAGAGTTTACCGTAACTTGGATGTTGGTGGGTTGTGTTTTTTACAAAATACTTATAATTTGGAAGTAATTCTCAGAAGTTTATCAACAACCTGATTTCTGTTTATACTGGTTCTTGATAAATACATGTGGTCCCCAATCCAGCAGCATCGGCATTACTTGAGAATGTAATGTCATCATTGCAAATCCTCAGGTTCCACTGTAGATGTGAACCCACCCTGAATCCATGTTTTAATAGGCTTGCAAGGGGTATATGATCCTATGCTAAAGTCTGAAAACCAGTGACATGCAATCCTTATTCAAGATGTGTCTTAAAATGTAGATTGTTGGCAGTCTGAGAAGAGTTTCAGTACACTACTAAAAAACAATCATGTCACCTAAAAATACATATTTAGGAGTACTTTTTGAAGTATCACTCAAATATGAAATGCAACATAATTTTATATTCAAGTACTTTAAACATTTCATAAGAATTAATGTTTAAAAAATTTAAGACTATGAAACATCATGTATTACCAATTAAGTACATCTGTCCCTTGGTATCCAGGGAGATTTGATTCTAGAACTTCCTGCAGATACCAAAATCTGTGGATACTCAAGCACCCTATAGAAATGGTACAGTGTTTTCATATGACCTAGGCACATTCTACCTACACTTCAAATCCCTTCAGTAAAACCTAATTGTTATAAATTGTAGTTATACTGTACCTATTGTTTATAGATGATACTGTCACACCAAAAAAGTTTACACATGGTTAGTACTGAGATGCAATTTTTAAATATTTTAGATCTGTGTTTACTCAAATGCTAAGATGTGGAACCCATGGATATACAGACCTGACTGTATAATCAAGTGTTTTTAGAAACTGAAACATATATATTTACTTTTTTGAAAATAGGATGGCCTTTTTAATCAAACCAGTGGCATTTCATTAGTTAGAAAGATATCTTAACATACTGGATTTTTCCTATTTTATTTCCTATACTTTTGAGACAAAGCTATCACGATCATAGATTTGCAGTGGAATGGAGCTGTGGTATGCCTGTCACTGCACTATGTAACAAAACCACAAACCCAATCTGTATAATTGTTCTGAAATATGTGGGGTTATATCTCTCATAGAAATGTTGCACCCCAAAACATGATTTGAATTGCATTCCATTGTAAGAAGAAACTCTGTACTATGGGAATAGAGGTTAGGCCACTTGCTCAAACAGAAGGAACAACCATGTTGGATCTTATCTGTAATCTGCAAAATCTTCTGTTTTTCTTTCTTTTACAGTAAGAGCAAGGGATAGTCTTTGTCAATTTTAAAGGATACATTAGTTCTCTAAACACAATACTTTCACTTAGTAATCCACTATGAGTTGCTGCCCATTAATTTATCTATTCTATTTTCAAATGACTTATAAACAAAATAGTTTAATTCTACATGGATTTTGAGATAAAAATTGATCATTTATTCCCCAAATGTTTTTCAACCTTAAAGGATGCCCCACTTTTTCTATATCAAGACAAATGATAAATCCATCTGAACCTATATATTAACTCCCAAATAGTTCTCATCTTTTTACTCTCCTTGTATAGTAATTTTATGGGTTAAAACAATGTATTTTTTCTAAAACATTCTCTAATTCCATTAACTATGTATTAGATTTACTGGATAGTCTTAATTTATCAGTCTACAAACATGTAATAATTTTGTCTTTGTCACTGCTGTCAGTTTCCTGAACACTCATCCTGTAGGTTAGTACTTGGGAGGAGATACAGAATTAAAGTTGACTGTCAACAGGCCCTTTCCAAATGTCCAGCACAGTCTAGTGAGTCATAGACTAATCTATTTAAAAAGCTCAATGTCATTGGAATAAATATTCAATTTAATTTAAATATTATTGTCCTCTATCTCCATCTTCTTTTAGCTTCAGAAGGGCCATTAGAAGAAGGCTTATAAGTGTGGCTTTATTTGTCTTGGAGAATTCATGGTATCGAGAGCTGGTATGTGCCTGTTATAGAAAAGCAAGGCAAGTGTAGAAATTCCTCTCCTGAAAATCTTTACTGTGCCTGCATCTGAAGGAAGTAATATGTGTCAGAAATAGAAACCGGTTGTTAGAGCTGTTGATGTCTGCTCCATCTGTGTGTTGTGGATGTCTCCGTCCTGGATTTCTTTGTATAGTGATGCAGTTCTCAGCCACTTAGCTTCCCAGCTCTGACTCTAAGACACAGTAAATCTTCAGGTGCTACTTCCACTCAGGCCCTACCTATGATATTCACTGGCCCCTTTGATCAAGCAGGGAAATTCCACAGGGCAGGTATAAGTGCTTCTCCTTTCTGATCTTCCCATTGGGCTTGATGATCTCAGACATTTTCAAGTCCCCTTTCCTGCCTCCCTAAAGCATTAAGACACTTAGCTTTTACATTAGGAATAAAAATAAAAAGCACTTCTATAAGTCACTCACATATATGGCTCCATGTTTTAAAGTTGACATCACATCTCACATATATTTTAGATATATTTAGGAGTTTAGTAGAAGGGGCAGATGAAGCATGTCTGTCTTTCTACATTAAGGGAGTAGGGACCAACTATCAATTTATCATACTCAAGCTCACTGTTCTTTCTCTAATAATAAGGCCTACACAATTTGTGCTTTATCCAAAACAAAGGAAAAGGATATCATCGCCCTGGATTATTGGAATTCTGTCACTTACTGACTCCTTTGTGTAGCACTGCAAGCTAAGAAGGAAAAGCAAGCAAGGCATCTTTAGCCATTCTAAACTATTTCTACTCTATTTGACATCCCTGTGTCATGTAGAGTACTTCATCTTTTATAGGGTTAAGAATTGCATACAAAATACTTATTTTGAAAAAAATGTTAGTTTGCAGTGAGTAAGTAGAATCTTGTCATCTATATGCAGTTTTTGCTCTGGAAGTCTCACATTCAATTTAGCAGACACTGGTGGAGGTGACATTATGTGTGAAACCGTGCCAGTCACATGGGTGATGAAGATGAATAGATCTGTCCTCCTGGTTTAATGACTCAGTGTTATAAAGGAATAACCTGCATTAACTCTAAACTTCTTTCCAAAAGAATACTTTCCTTTTGGAATATGGATCCCTTTTCTGAATAATATAGTTTTATTGTTTTGCTTCTCTTGTTCAAAGAGTTTTACTTTCTGCTTGATCATTTCATGGTGTGGTTACGTATTGTCACGGCTCTCATTTCTGCAGGAGAAATAAAACATTCTAAGCATTCATTCCAATTTCAAAAATAGTGAAATAGAATATGAATCTAATATTTTATGAATAATCAATTTTAGACAAATTGTTGAATAGTTTTCTATAAAGTCCCCATAGAAAATGATGAAATACCTTTCATAAGATAATATCTGCAAGTGCAAGGAAAGGGGGGACTAAGGTGCCCACAAAACAGTGGGGAGATTAATTGAGATTGGGACAAATAAGAAGGTAAATGAAAGGAATAGGATACAGGGAAAAGTGAGCACCAATATCAAGTGTGTTCATGAGGAATGAGAATTAAAAGACAAGCTAGTAGACTTGGTGGTTAGGAATCATTGACAACATTTGATATAGTAGGGTTTGGGTTTTTTTTGCAGTATTGGGGACTGAACTCAGGGCTTCACACTTGCTAGGCAGGTGCTCTCCCACTTGAACCATGCCTCCAACCTTTTTGCTCTACTTATTTTTGAGATAGGGACTTGGTTTTTGCCCAGGCCAACCTGAATCATGATCTTCCTATGTTATGCTTCCCTTCTTAGCTGGGATGATAGATGTGTACTACCATGCCCAGTTTTTTTGTTGAGATGAGGTCTCATGAACTTTTCTTGCCCGAGCTGGCCTAGAACCATGATCTTCCTAATCTCATCCTCCCAAGTAGCTCAAATTACAGGCTTGAGTCACTATTCCCA